GGGGGGGGGGGAGATCCATCTTTGACGTGGTGGGATTTCTGCCCCGTTTCCAGGGGGAAGGTGGTGCTGGGGTACACAGAAACGGAGCTGTGCAGGAGAGGGTCTGGCTACCAGTTCGTGCACGCGGCTGACATGATGCACTGCGCCGAGAACCACGTCAGGAGTGAGTGTCGGGGGCGTGGGGGCAGCTGTAGAAGCCCCCCCCTTGGCCTCCCGAGGTCATTCCTGGTGTCTTCTTCTCTCCCTGCCCCAGTGATGAAGACGGGGGAGAGCGGGCTGACGGTGTTCAGGCTGCTGACCAAGAAGAGGGGCTGGGTGTGGGTGCAGGCCAACGCCTGGCTGGTCTACAAGGGGGGGGAGCCCGACTTCATCGTGGCCCGGCAGCGAGCCCTCTCGTGAGTACCACCAAGACCCCAGATGCCTTCTCCTGCCCTTGGTGTGGGTGGCTCCAGGGTTGCTCGAGCCACAGGGTGGTGAGGAGGGTGGTGGGGTTGGTGGTTGGGTCCTGAGTTCCTCTTGGGAGGGGGGTTTTGCCTGGCCAGGAGGAGGTGCTGATGGTGTTTTCATCTCTTTTTCCCTCCATCCCAAAGGAATGAAGAAGGGGAGGAACATCTGCAGAAGAGAAACCTGCAGCTGCCTTTTAGCTTTGCCACAGGGGAAGCCGTTTTGTATGGGAATGATCTTCCCAAGTTCCTGGACTCCTTCCAGGCTAAGGAGGAGCTGCAGACACGAGGGAACTCCCTCTCCAAGCAGCGCTCAGTAGACCCCAACTCTCTTCTTGGGGCAATGATGAAGCAGGACGAGTCCCTCTACATCTCCCAGGCTGCTAACGTGCCTCAGTTCTCCTCCTTGCCCCGTGGGCTGAGCCAGAAGGAGGAAGTCAGTGATGCCAAGGAGGACAGCGACCCCCTCCTGGTCGTTATTGAAACCCTCTTTGAGAAGAATGAGGCAGAAGGAAACATCTCCCAGACCCTCCAGAGCCTCCACGTGGACAGCACAGAGCTGCAGAGGTGGGAGGAGGCTCTGCTCAGCTTGGGCACAGAGGAGGAGCTGCCAGCTCAGGAGGTTCACAAGAGTCTAGGCACTGAGGTGGCATCCTACGTGGAGCACACGCTCCTCGGGGAGGATGCCAGGAGGGACATGGACCTCCCACGCTGTGGTGGGTCACCCTGCGATGAGGAACACGGCGCTGTGGCTCATTTCCAGCACTGCTGGGCAACTAACTCGGCCTTTCAAGCCCCACCACAGCCCCAGGCACCTGGTGCACGTGGCCAAAATGCTGTGGGCTCTCTGGTCTCCGTGATGTCTGAGGTTGGCTCTGGTCAACCAGAGCAGCAGGTCCTATTTAACCCAGTTGGGCTGGTGGAAGGGCCTGTTCTGGATGTCTCAGTCTCCAGTGGAGAGTCTTCTGTAGCACTTCAGCTGAGAAACCTGGGCCAAGTGCTTCAAGGAGAAGTTACCACCTCTGCTTCTGTAGATATTCCTAGTGACCAGAGCCAGCCTGGGGGCAAGCTGGTGGGCTCAAGCTGCCCACCTCCACTGCACTCCAACACACTCGTGACTCAGTGGCACCACGTCCCCCTCCAGCCACACCCAACCCATGTTTTGGGTCAGAGCTCTTCTCCTGGAGGTTGCCCACCAGACCGTTGGATGGCCGTAGCTCCGAAACAGCTGGAAAGGGCAGGAACACACCTGGAGTCCCAAATTCTGCTGCCTGGCAGCCCCCATGGCTCCTCGGGGACCAGGCTGTGGTTGCTGCCCTCTCATCCTGCGCCTTGCCCTGCTCAGGGCTTGAGTGAGCCCTTGTTCTGTGGGGCTGGGGATGAGGGGAGTGACCTGGGAGGCAGCCAGCTCCCAGGGGGTGGTGGCTTCCCCAAACAGCCCCTGGTAGCCCACGGGGAGCCCAGCTTCTCCTGGGAAGGGGAGCAGGGGGTGCTCCCAGAGGACAAGTGGTTCAGGCAGCACCAGCCCCGACTCCTGCAGGCTGGAGGAGCTCCTCAGAGACGTGGTGGGGCAGGACTTCTGCTGGGCTCCAGCACCCCCCGGGGGGATCAGGTCGTGCTACCCGAGTGCCAGTATGGAAATGACCTTTTCAGACACCAGACCAGCTTTTCCAGCGACGTCTCCAAAATACCCTTTCCCCAGCAGCCAGGCACGTTGTCTTCTCCTGGTGACAGCCACCCCGGAGCGTCCTCATCCTCACCAGGCTCACTTTGGGGGTTCTCAGCAGCTCTCCCCACCAAGGTGGGTGCAGGAGCGCTGCCCTCCTTGGAGCAGGGCCCTGGTTTCCCATCGGAGGCCTTGGCGGGTGGGCAACCGCTCTGTGGCTGCGAGGTGCAGCTGAAGGTGAGGTGTGAGGGCTGCAGGACCTGAGGGGTTCACCAGCTGTCCTGTTTCCGTGTAAAAAGGGGTTCAGGGCAGGACCCCCACGGACCAGA